GGGAAAGAGAACTCAGGACTTCCCCTTTCTTTGACCACTTAATGAATGGGGATGGGTGGGGAAGGGGATTCAGTATTTTTCACGATAATTTTGGACATCCCCTTATTTTCCCATAATTACTTTTGACTTCTTGTCCATAGTTTAATACTCCCTTTATATTCTTCTTTCAGTGATGTGTTTAATTCAGGTTTTCTCCTAAGGCAACAAAACAATTTTTTTTTTTTTTTTTTTTTTTTTTTTACTATCTGTTGCTGTTTTATTGGAGATGAGTTCTGGAAAGCTAAGGTTGGGATAGATGGTGGAGGGGAGAAGTGCAATGGGCAGAGCTTCCCAATCAAGTAGAACCCCCGACCTCATTTTTTCTTTTTTTTTGCGGTACATGAGCCTCTCACTGTTGTGGCCTCTCCCGTTGCGGAGCACAGGCTCCAGACGCGCAGGCTCAACGGCCATGGCTCACGGGCCCAGCCGCTCCGCGGCATGTGGGATCTTCCCGGACCTGGGCACGAACCCGCATCCCCTGCATCGGCAGTTGGACTCTCAACCACTGCACCACCAGGGAAGCCCCAACAAAACAATTTTTAAAGAAATAAACTATAATAATATTTTAACCATAATTTTTTTGCCAAAATACACCATGCTTTTCTCCTCTATCTTCTTTAAAGGATGGTGTATTAGATGATTTTCCCCATAACTATACCAAATTTATTATCCATTTAAAGCTAATACTTTTGGCACCACAATTCTGATACCAGTTCTGATGTGTGTGGTGTAAATCCATCAAACTCCACACTTTCTTTTCTAAATGGTGGTATAATTTACATATATCAAAATGCACAAATCTGAAGTGTTCACTCAGTATGTTTTTACCTGTACTTGCAGTCACATAACCCTCACCTAAATCAACATTCAGAACATTTCCATCACACCTGAAGTTCTCTTGTGTCCTGTTCTGCAGGACACGCTGTTCCCTAATTCTCTGACTTCAATCACCATAGACTTAGGTTTACCTGCTCTTGAACTTCATATAAATGGAGTCATACAACATGTACTCTTTTGTGTCTGACAGTTTTCACTCAACAAAATACTTTTGAGATGCATCCATTTTGTTACATGTAGCCATAGTTCATTCCTTTGTATTGTTGATTAATATTCCATTGTATGAATATACCACAGTTTATTTATGCATTCTACTCTGATGGACATTTTGGTTGTTTCTGGTTTTAAGCTATTATGAATAAAGCTCCTACGAACATTTATGTTCAAGTCTTTTTGTGTCCATATGTTCTCATTGTTCTTGGGTAAATTCCTACGAGTGGAATGCTGGGTTATAAGGTAGGTGTATATTTATCCTTACCTTACTACAAAGTGGTTGTACCATTTCCCACCAACGGTTGGACAAGAGCTCCAATTGCTTTGTATCATTGACAACACCTGGTAATTTCAGACTTTCTAAAAGGTGTATTTTTTCTGCGATTCTATGTACATTATACACCAGTAAAAAGTTTAAAAAAATAAATAAACAGTAAAAATGATGGTGGTTGTGCCTAATGCCCAAACTCTGAAAATTTGCATAAATCATTTGGAAGTTTTATTGACATTGGCCTGGAATCCAATAACCTGAATGTTGCCCTATTTAACTGATGTATTTTTATTTCACACTATGCCGAACTTTTAAGGGATTGGGCCTTAAGTTTGGTTGGGAAGTATTGTTTCTGAAAAAGAAAATATCTCTGAAGTTTCCTTGAGAAATCTTCTCACCTCTATCTGCCTTTTACTTTTCTCGAGCAGACTTATGATTCAGAATACTTTGGCAGGAGCTCATTGCTTTTCTTCTTCTTTCCCATTTCAGAGCATAAATGCCCAGTGGATGAGCAGGAGCAGTTGGAGGAAACCTTGCCCCTGATTTTGGGGCTCATCTTGGGCCTCGTCATTGTGGTAACGCTGGTGATTTACCATCTCCACCACAAAATGACTGCCAACCAGGTCCAGATCCCTAGGGACCGATCCCAATATAAGCACATGGGCTAGAAACTGTTAGGCAGACAGACCCCCAGCCCCCCCGCACTGGCTGGATCAGGTAGAAAAACAAAAGCACTTTCCACCTGTACAGGGGATATACCAACATAGCTGCAATCAAACAGACGTGGGTATTCAAGGCTTGCTTGGCCTGCATCCATGCTTCAACCCCAGGATGGGGGGATTCTTTCGGATTCATGGGGTGAAGGACAGTTGCTGGGGAATGGAAGGAAGGGGTCAGCCAGCTTTCACACTCATTGTGACTTGGCTTTGACTCTCCAAGCAGCAACTCATAAAACTCGGAGAGGTATCTGACTCTGAAGTTTAGGGATTGGAACCACACTTCGTTTGGAAAGACACCCCTTAAGGTTCAAGACAAATATTGGAGGCTTTGCTCCCTTGAACACAGATGGCTTACCCTATACTGTTGTCAACGTACACAAAATACAGCCTCATGCTCCCTGCAGCAAGACCCCTGAAAGTGACCCATGCTTCTGGCTGGCGTTCTGCATGTCTAGTGATTGTCTTGGGAATGTTTCACTGCTACCTGCACCCAGTGAATTCACAGCACAAGAACCTGTTTAATGTAACTATGCAGAGTTGTTTGGACTTCATAGTGTGTCAGGTCCAAGTAAGGGGACCTGAAGAATCAATCCGTGTGAGTTTGTTTTTCAAAATGAATTAAAACACACTACTGTCTAACATTTGAATGCTTTCTTGAAACAAGAAAAAACTAAAATGGTTTCTGGGACACCCAGAAGAGAGAGGGGAATGATGAAGATGGGATTTCATTTCTGCAAGAGGAAAAGCAAAGTAAGAGCAAGGAAACAATGGGGGAGGGGGAGGGAGTTGGCTTTTCCAGGTGAAAAAACGTGGATTTATTTTGGCAAATATAAGTAGTTTTAATAATGGCACCTCTTGAACAATTGGTCTAATATAGCTTCTGGTGCTTCTTGGTTTTGAGTCTGGCATTTCACTTTGGATTAAAAAGCTGGACTGAACATAGTAGCTTAGGTTGAATTTTATTTGTGATAAAATGTAATTTACTGAAATTCCCTAGAGAACTGTACATAGTTCGGATTTCACTCACTTTCTACATAATCATTTTTCAGAAGATCTGAGCAGGGGTAGGGGAAATCCTTTTCTTTGGTATTAGGGTGGGAATCCCCCTACCCCTGTAAAATCATCACCACATGAGAGGAAGCTCATGAGTTATCTCCCCAAGTCTTCAATTGTTGACAGTAGCACATCCTTAGAAGTTCATTATACCAGCAAATCTTGATAACTATCAGCCAGTTGCTCTCCTATTATCCATTTGTTTGCTGCTCTGGCAACCTCAGTCTTTCCCTGCATGACTTCTTCTCAATGTCTGCCTGGTCAGTGAGGAACAAGCCCTGATTCCTCATGAAAGTTGCCTGTTGCACAAGAAAAAAGAGACGGCTTTTTTTTTTTTTTTTTTTTTTTGTATCGAGAGTACTTATTTTCATGGTACGCTTTGGTTGGTACGCGGGCCTCTCACTGCTGTAGCCTCTCCCGTTGCAGAGCACAGGCTCCGGACGCGCAGGCTCAGCGGCCATGGCTCACAGGCCTAGCCACTCCGCGACATGTGGGATCTTCCCGGACTGGGGCACGAACCCGTGTCCCTTGCATCGGCAGGCGGACCCTCCACCACTGCGCCACCAGGGAAGCCCAAGAGACGCCTTTGGTGCCAGCGGAGGCAAACAACCCCCACCCCACCCACGTGTCCTCCACCCTTCCATCATCTGTGATCATCTCACCCCCACGCCCCAAACATGATAAGCCCTTTCCCTTTTAGCATCTCATGTAATTTTAGGAAACTTCCTACTTATCTGGAACCATCCAAGGATCTGGGGAGAAATAGACACTTAGGTATATCCCCTTTAGAAAACATTTTTAGGCTTTCTGAGTCGTACTTCTGAAAACTTCATCTTTACTTAATTTAATCTACTTTTACAAAAGTAAATTCGTATTTTTAAAAAATTTTACTTTCACAAGACAGGACTCATTACTATTTTTGGAATTGTCATTCATTCATTCAACAAACAGTTTTTGAGCACCTACTGAGTGCAGGCTCAGTGCTGGGTGTACAGTAGTAAATGACAACTGGGAGTCTGTAGGGGGAGAACAGACAAGAAAACACACATGCATACATGCGTGTACACACACACGTACACACACACACACACACACACACACACACACACACACAGGTCATTCTAAACAGAACAAAGTGCCCTGGCGCTTTACAAAGTGTTACCATATGGCTACGCCCCTGTGTCTAAGCTAATTAAATCTTTCTAGAATCCAAATTTCTTAATCCTCAAAATTAAGAGTGATTTTTTTCCACCTGTGATATGCAGTACGTATAAAACGCCCTATTATTACGTCTGTTATTGTTATTATTAATCACGGCATCTTTATTTACCGGTCCTAAAATTAGGTCTCAAGTTCAGCCTAATTTCTATGAACCTCGCCTTATTTTTCTTAGCCCTTTTTTATCTTCATCATCAACTAAGCAGAATAAAAGGGGGCCTCCTGATGAGGGCAGGGCCAGTGGTCTATGGGTGGACAAGGCAAGGTGCCCAGAGCGATGACTCATGTTCATTGCCATTGTCCTGCATTTCACGGAGGCTCCCGCAGCAGGAACAAGCTGTGGGGTGGCTCATCTGTTTGCATTGTTTCCTGAGCTCAGTGACGGGAAAGAAAACAAACAGATAATCCACAGATGCTCAATTACCCCTTTAACTGTCATTTTTCTTTTTTACTGGAGTTTTAAACACAAACGCCTCTGGGCATAAAAGGATGTTGTGTCCGGTTGCTGCTCTGCTGGCCTGGAAAAGCCAGGCTGGATGAACCATATGCATGTTTCTTTGGGGGAAGGAGGAGTTTGATTTCAATTCTGAGTGTGGTTCTTTGCAGTGTTCCCCCATTTTCGGCAAATAGCTCCCAGTGAAGCTGCCTCAGAGAACAGGGAAGACTGTTCCCCACCCCAAGAAAGCCCTCTAAACTATAACCACTCTTCTCACCAATTCTAACGTTTCCATTAACAAAGACTTGTCAAAGCCATACGGATTGGGGAGACAACAGAGATATGAGAATGGAGAAGTGGGAGGAAGATGGAAGGAATGACCTGCAGCGTCTGGTGGAGGTAGCAGGCAGTGAGTGCACAGGGGAGGGTAGTCCAAACCAGCACCGAGCACAAACACCTCCCTGGAACAAACACCCAAGCAACCTGAACCAGACAGACACAGCTTTCAATGTGTGTCTCAAAGTGCAGTTTGCAAGCAGCCTGTATCAGAATCATCTCAGGGGGTCGTTGAAAAATGTCAGTTCTAGGGCATCAACCCAGTGATTGAGAATCTCTGTGGTGAGACCCTAGACTTGGTATTCTGACTACTTGCTCTCTCCAGGTAATTCTGATTTAGCAGTATGACAACTTCTGGTTAAAAAAGCCTTTGCTATCAGCCTACCTGCAGCATTAGCCAAATTACTGGGCTTCTCTGTGCTCATTTTCTCATCTGAAAATGGAGTTCACTGTCCTCTCCTTGCAAAGTTATTTGAGGACGCATGATAGTACATTTAAGTCCCTAGCACAGTGCCTGGCACACTGGAAATGCTCCATAAGAGGTATTACTAATGATATTTTTCTAGCATCCTTATTAAAATGCGTGTTCAAATTTTACCTGCCATACATGTACATGAGAGACCCAAAAAGACCAATGCAGGGTTTGTTTGTTTGTTTTTTTAATCTGGCATCCAGTTTTCTGTGTCAGTTTATTTTGAATTGAGAATATGTTTCTATGCAAGGATTCTCTCCATCCCCAGCCCAGTGAACTGCTCAGGAGGTTGTCAGTTTGGGGGTGTCGGGGAGACGGTTGGAGTCCATGAATTTGGATGAGAAAAAAACTACACCTTCAGTTTTACTAACCTCAAATGAAAGGTAGCATCTCCTTCAATTATGAACATAGGCACCAAACCACTGTAGTATAAGCAGGACCTAGGTATAGGTCATCGGCAGAAATTACCACATTATACTTGTTGCAGATACTTCCAAAAATCATTTATATTCCTTATTGGAAATTATGGTAGTTATCAGACCCATCACAGATCTTGTTATTTAATGCATTATAACCATAACATTAAAATATATATTTTGATAACTATGCTTTAATTGGTTTCCTTTGTAAGCCTATGTATTTTACTTTATGCATTTTAAAACATTTTTCTGAGGACTCCATAGGCGTCAGACAGCCAAGAGGTCCAGGGTGCAAAATTAGGCTTAGAACTCCTGGGCCGATGGCTACTTCAGTTGTCATTTAAACTGACGGAACCTGTCAGGTTGTCTTCTGGGGAAGGTCACAAAGGCTTATGTGACAAATGAGCTAATTATTTGTTAGCACCGATCTTGTGTTTTACAGACCCTGGTCTCGTGCTGGGGACACATCAGTGAATGAAATAGGTGAGAATCCCTGCCCTCAAGGAACAGAACTCGTGTGTGTGTCTGTGTGCGTGTGTGTGTGGTGTATTCAGGTATCATGATTCATGTGCTGTCATTGAACAAGTTGTTGAGGACTTGGTTAGGATCAGTTAAGGTGGACCATATGTGACCTTGAAGTCCTTTCTAGCTTTAATGTTTTTTCAAAATGCTGCCAATGATGATGAGGCATAATTATCAAAGCAGTTGCTGTGTGGGCAAACCTTTCAAGATAAGGAATCCCTTTGCTTTTAAAACAGTATATTTTGATTCAGAAATCAGGAACCCTCAGACTTTGTCAAGTCCCCTTTTTATCCTTCACCAGATCTATTAATGTAGGAGACATTGCTGGGGTCCCACCCATGTTCCCTTGGTCTTTCCTGGAGCTCGTTTGCTGACAGTTTCTGTACATGCCCACAGCTCCCCGTGTCTCCCACCCTCTTAGCTGGAGGGAACAAACTTTGCCCACCTACAGGGCAAGATGGACGTTCTGGGGGATGATGCCCTAGATGGAGCAACTCTCAACAAACCAGGGATAGGAGATGGTAGATAAATACCCCAGCCACTTCACTGCTAGAAGGACAATTCTGGAGCATCTCTCCCAGAAGGTCTTAGGTGGGACTGAGCCCCAGGCACCCACAGTGGTGACCCATTCATTAATACACACCTTTGTTTTCAAATTTCTGTCCCTCTTGGTCTCATGTCTCTACTCTGCCATGTTGAATGAGCTTCCTGGGATCATCTTCCAGGAAGGACTTGTGTGTCTGTCTTAGGTTCTCTTTTTGGCAGAACCCACACTAAGGTCATCTATTCACTTAACTCAAAATGCACACATTTCAAGGCTTACTTTGATGGGTTTGCTGCACAATTTGGATTTGTACTATATCATGTCACTTTCACAGAACTGCTCCTGCTTGTACATTTTGTAGCTGCTTTAGACCAAATCAATCGTTTCTCTGCCTCGAATCTCATTACCGTTTCTTTGATGACACAGGGACATTCACTCGATCGGTTTGCCCAAGGAGTCTGAACTCATTGAGTGGATAACTTCATGGAATGATTTTATTTTTCTAGTAATTGCTACTGAGTGTGTTTGTCCCAGTGGGTAATGGGGACACAACCATAACTCAGACTGATTCCATCTGCCTAATCCACTAAAAAAAATCAATCTCATTCAAAATCAAAATAACTCCCCTCCCCTTTGCTTGAGCTAAACTTGTATCAGAGAGAAAGAAGTGGATAGGCAGTGGCAAGGGACAAGGTGTGCTTTCTTATCCTCCTTTCCTTTCTTCTGAGTCCCTCCTTCAAATCATGGAGTCTCAGACTAACTCGTGGCTCAAACCTATGGGGAGCTGTGGGGAAGGGAGATTCCAGGAACCCAGCTGGCTGCAGTCAGCTGCCTTGGAAATTCTGTTGAGGAAGAGGAGATGCCTGAGTTTCATTTGTGTCCATCTGAAGACTACAGCCTCTGCTTTTAGAGTGGTGGTGGTGTAGATGATATATGTGGTTTTTAGAGTAAGGTTCAGCTCCTCCCCGACCCCGCCCACTGTAGAAAAGCAGCCATATTTCCCTTTGTTTTCCCCCATGGTGCATACCTCCAATGCACTCTTCCAGTTGGGTATTACCCCATTACTTAGTTAAGTGGTTGTCGTGTTCCCTGCTCTCTCTCTATGCACCATCATAAGCAGAAGAATTTGGTGTATTCTTCTGTGCCTTCCAGTGGCTTCAGGGACCTGCCTGGGGAAGGTTGCCTTCATCTTTCTCTTCCCTGGCACACAATATACTACTATTAGGAGGTCTCATCCTGCTATCTCAGGCTATTTCCTGAGGGTTTTCACTTTCTGAAATTGCCAGAAGAGAAATGAACTCTTTATTTACCAGTATCACTCTCAACTTCATGGGATAAATGTTAATGTCTTCCTTGTCACCCAAACAGGAGGCGGGGGCCCAACACTTTCTTCCAGTCTGCCAGAGAGCCTCTCTAATCCAGAGCAATCTCCTTTCTTATATCTTTCGTGGGTAAAAGCAATCAGATCAGTTCATCATCTTTGGAACAGCAGAGTAGGAACCTTCAGCCATGAATCTGGCTTTCCTTGAATTTGGCCTTCCAGAATTTAATTTTTTTTTTTCTCAATAGTGGTATCTACATCATAGTCTTACACTGCTTATAACCTGTGGGGATGGGAATATTTATCTTTGCTTCATGTCAACATATTACATATAATTTTATAGCAACTTATTTGCATTCCCCAAGATCATAAAGACACCATTCTTGTTATTCAAGAAGCAAATTCAGGAAATTACCAGAGTTTCCAATAACACGATGGGAAAAAGGCAAACATTTATTTTTATTTGCAAGTGTAGTTTCTGCCAATAGTTAGTGCTCACACAACCTTTTAAGCTACAGTAACTTTTGGTAAATTCAATGAAGACTTTAAAAAAGAGGCAGTGATAAGAAAATTACAGAAAAATTTCTATTACACTGTCGAAAATGTTTGGAATCCAAAAGCCACTATTTTCTGCAATGGTTTTTAATATTTTCTCTGGTTAAGAAAAGATTTTTTTTCTTTCCTTTCTATTTCCACATAGTCCTGGTTAAATGAATACAGTCTGTTCCATGAACTTTTAGGACTGCCATTTTCTGGATTTAGATTATTTTAATTCGTACATACTTATATTAGTATTTTAATATTTTACATAAAACATTGATTTGTTGTGTTTTATGAAACAAAATTATAGATCTTATTTATAATGAGGCATTTCCAGTTTAGGGAAAAACTGAAAATCTAATCAGTAGAAGGTCATTTTATGCCTTTTTTTTCCTTTTTAACTTTAATAAATAATTAGCAACCTATTAATTACAAACATTCTTAATTAGGCTTAGAGCAACCAGAGCATTTTCACAATTTTAAATTCATATTTGTTCCAGTATGTGAAATTAAGAAAAGCCTCTGGTTTTCCAGTTTGGTAAAAAATGGCTTTCAATGGATGCAGAAGTAATAGAAACTAATGATGACTATGTAGCTTTTCCAGAGTCTTAAAGGCAAATCTATATTGGCCTACAGTTAACATGCAAATTCATCCAACAAGCAACACAAAATGTATTGTAGTAGTCATTCGTGTTTGTCAACATTCAAGAAGATCTAGTCAGCAGCACAACTCTCCTATGTCGGAAACACAGAACATGGTCACAACTGAATTCGGGTCACACCCGGGAAAATCCCCGCTCCCTAATTCATTCTCTAGAATCCAGACTTCCAGTATGATACAGAAACAATAACGACGAAGATAAATTACAGACAAGAGTTTGGTGTGCTAGCACACAGAGTTTTAAGAACAGTAACGAACAAAACCAAACATCTTGCCCACTTCTCTCTTTTTTCCCTTTGTGAGACTGGAATTATCACAGCCTTCTTGAAACATTCAGTTTGGGGAATGGAGTCCAAATGATCCTAGCACTGGGTTGTCGGATCAAGATGGCGGAGGGGTAGGACGTGGAGCTCACAGCCTCCTACAAGTACATCAAATGATCCTAGCACTAAAATTGTTCCTTGGAGGGGAAATTTGGCCCCAAGGGGACATCGTACCCCTTTAAGAGAGGGTACTAGGGGAAACATCCTGCTGTGCAAAAGATGGTTTGCTACTAACAGGCTTGAAGGAAAATGTGATTTTTCAGAATATTTAGCTTTCTCCCAAGGAGTACTTTTGGTGGTATACTGTGGCTCACATTTTATTGTACTGTATTATTTTGGGCTGGATAAATGGAATGTGCACCCCCATCACCATCACTCTTAAGTCTTCTTCCATTACATAAGACACTTGTTAAGATAAGAAAGATATTCTACTAAAGCTGACGTTGATTGAGAGTCATTCAGTATTCAAAGTTCCTAAAGATTGTTGGTTCTCTGAAAGGGATAAAAAAGTAGGAAAGACTTTGTTCAAACTCTTGCTAGTAAACAGGTATTACTTCAACTGATACAATGGCTACGTGACATCAAAGTACTATAAATTATCAAAACTATTGTACAGAAAAATTACAAATTCATTGCAAAATACATTACACTGCTACCATTAAGAAAAAGTGCTTTTTGTTATCCTTTCTATTTTTTGCCAGAAAAGTATTCTTTCAATATAGAAAATCCTGTGCGTTACCCTGCATGTGGCTAGGATATGTCATAACGGAGTTTGTACTGGTCATTCTGATTTGCTGGATGAAAGGCTGAAAAATATAATAATGACTTATTAAAGCCGTGTTCCAAATGACCACACCAGCTGTTAGTGGAGAGATGCCTGTTTAAGACACAAGAAGATGCCCTGGTCTGCCAAACCCTGCCGGTCAACACACTGTCCCATCAATCAGCTGGTCTGGAATATACAGGTCTGTTACACGTTCTCTGGTTTCCTTGAGTTCTCCTGAATTATTCTCATGTTCTCATCTAGCTTTGTCACCTCTATGAATCCTCTGCTCAGTGATGCCTGTATTGTCTCATGAGGGGAACAATACAAGATGGCGGACCTGCCAATTTCAAGAATGGATGTCCGAGGAGTTCCTGGGCTGTGGCTCTTTGAGAGGGTTCCCTCACCAACATCAGGTCTAGGAATCCCCGGAGCACTGAAGAAACCTGTGAAAACGCAAGATACCATCTTGAGGACTAACACAGACACCCAACCCAGTTCCCCTAAAATGGGTTCCCAGAGAATTCCCAGGAAAGTCACTCTATCAACAACTTCAAATTCCAGAATGTCAGCTTGAGGAGAAAGAGGTTATGGAAGCAAAAGCAGGAATTGCCTTTCTTAACATATGCTGTTTTCCTTACCTTCTTCAAGTCTGAAATAATAGGAGTAAATGATGGTATGACAAAGAATATTTACTAAATAAAATAATAATGGTATAATAGTGACAGTAGCAGCTATTATGAAGTGCCTACTGTGTATAGGTGCTGGACACACATGTTTGATGAACAGTGTTCTAAACATGGAATGAGTTTTCTTTGTGTAACCACTGAAACCATCTAGTCTTTGTGGAATCCCTTTCTTGAAGAGAAACAAACTTCTGTAAGGATATCTGACACAGCATTTTCCCTTTAATTTCGTGTAATTTACTTTTTGAGGTATAGCTTACGTACATTTGAGCGTATAAAAAGCTTTTTTAAACACATATTTACACCTATATATTCCCCACCCCTATCAAAATATAGAACATCTCTCCCTCCAGCCCCCTTCCAATCAATACCTGTCTCCCTGCAAAGGGTCACCAACCATCCTGACTTCTGATAAGATAAATTTTTACCTGATTTTGTCCTTTATAGAAATGGAGTCATTGGCTGTCAACCCTTCTCTCTCTATCTGCTTTCACTGGACATCGTGTCTGTGAGACGTATCCCTGATGTGGGTGGCAAAGGCTGTCTCCTTTGCATTGCTGTGTAGTATTCACTGCTGAATCATCCCACATCATCCCACTTATCCCTTTGGGAAACAACCTTGGAAGGTTTCCAGTTTTTGACTATTAGGATGAAAGTTGCTCTTGTCTGTGACTTTGAAGAACATCACACTCCTTCAAGTTGGTTGTGGGATTATTTGATACCATACTATTTTAGCCACTTTTTATTATTTAAACCCAGTCCAATGCAGTACAAATTTCAATCTCCTGTTCAATTCAAGCAGTCTCCCATCTTTTTGGCAGATCCACACAACCTCTATGAGTGATTCTATTGGGGCTCTTCCCTAAGGTTTAGGGGTGAGGGAAGAGGAGAAGCAACCATTACAAACTATCCCCTCACCTAAGGCAGCCTCACTCCCTCTCTTATTGTCAGGAGGCAGATGGGAGGGGTCAGCATTTATAGAGTTGATCTGTGGAGACAGCACCTCTCAGCAAGCTCTGCCCCGACTGGTGGCCCCCATAGTGGCAGTTCTTTGACTTAGTATCATATGTTCTGAGCTTGGCCCTACTTGACAATCTTTGGAAAACAGGAAAGGCCCTACTTGGTCCCTTGGCCCCTGCCTACCCTCTGACATGCCTCACCCTTTCCCCGTGCCCACTCTGCTCTGGCTGAGGGTCTTCGCACTGCTCCTCCCTCTGCCTGGGACATTTTTCTCCCAGATCTTTTTGCATAACTTACTCCTTCTTTCCAATCAGGCTCCAGTCCCCTGAAAGGGCCTCTTTCACCCCTCAGCCAGAACTAGCTTCCAGCCCCCTCTCCGGCCCCTTCCATCACATCACAGTGTTCTATTCGCTTCATAGCAGGTACCACTCTCTGAAATTATTTTATTCATCCATCTGTGTGTGGTTTATTAACTGCTTCCCCAACTAGAATGCAACCTCTATGAGGGTCAGGAAATGTGGGGTTTTGAGCTGCTATATCCCGGCCATTAGAACAGTCCCCAGCATGCAATAGATTCTCAAGGAGGGAGTGCGGAGTAGAGCCAACCCCACGAAAGAGGAGCAGGTCTACCCCATTTTACAGATGAGCTTCAGAGATGGAGGGGCTGACTCACTTGCCCAAGTGAGTGAATAAGAATAGCAGAGCTCTAAATGCAAGCAACTCGAATTCCAAAGTCCGTGTCCATAAACCAGGATCTACTCCTGGATGCGATATGCCAGTCTTTAAAACTACAGAGAGACAGAAACATCGAAGAATGATGTTGAACTTCAGCAACGGTTGCTGCTTCTCACCTTGTGCAGGTCCTTCACTCTTGGAGGTAAACTGTCCCGGATCCGCCGCATGGCCTGGAGGGGAGGCTCATTGAAGTAGGGGGGCTCGCCGTCAATCATCTCTATCACCATGATCCCGAGAGACCAGATGTCCACCTGTTAGGCACACCACACTGATTATCTCAGGCAAAGAGAACCTTCTGAAAGGTTGGATGTGTCAGGGACCCCAATAGATTCATACTCATTCATAAATTAATATGGGATTTGTAACCTCTCAAAATATACAATTCATATTTATAGGCTGAATTGTTGAGTGACCAAGTGTTTGCTAATGGTCTTCATCTGCTTTTAAAATACAACTTCAATGAAGATTCTGACAATTAGATACACGTGACTGTCTTAACACTCTGAAGTTTAGAACTTTCTTCTAATCCTGTTAACTTGGGTGGTTCATGGTCTACAGGGCAGATGTGAAAACCATCCAAAGTTTTATGTTATGAACAGAGAGGAAAGTTGCATTTAAACCATAAGAAAATAAGAAAAGTTTTTGGCATGTTCATAACAAACTCCAAAGAGCTACATTGCACAGCACAATATATCCTGATTCTTGTATTAATTTGATTTTTAAAAATAGTGCTTTGCCCCCGTATATTTTTTTCTTTTCTTTTTATTATTTTTTAATTATTATTATTATTTTTGCGGTACGTGGGCCTCTCACTGTTGTGGCCCCTCCCGTTGCGGAGCACAGGCTCTGGACGCGCAGGCTCTAGTGGCCATGGCTCACAGGCCCAGCCGCTCTGCAGCATGTGGGATCTTCCCGGACCAGGGCACGAACCCGCGTCCCCTGCATTGGCAGGCGGACTCTCAACCACTGCGCCACCAGGGAAGCCCATTCCTTTGTGTTTTATCACTTTGAAGCAGTGTGCACAAAACCATGATCTATAAAACCATGTTCAGGGAATGGAGGGAAAGAAAGGGAGAGACAACAAGCAATCCTTTCTGGGTAAAGAATGGAAAGTCAGGATAAGGAGGAGCCAGAGCCATGCTATAAATTCCCAGGCACTGTCGCCTCCCCCTCCCAGCCTCATTACACCTCTTATCAGTTATTCACACTCCTGCTCTCACCCGCACAGCGACCTTCACTGAGAATTGATGCTCTTGGGACCACAGTTATTCATCCAAGGGGAAGTAAACTGGGGAAAGAGAGCAGAGTCCGCCTGAACTTCTGCCACTCTCCTTTGCTCACTGGTCTGTGCCACCACCTGCAGGCTTCTCCTCTCTTAGGATCACCATCTGCACCATGATGTGTGGAAACACTATGTGTCCAGGCGAAATGAGCTCCTTGCCTCTGTGTGTATGTGTGTGTAGTGTGTGTGTGTCTCAGAGCTTCTACTCACACTATTATCCCCCTAGAAGGCCCTCCTCCACTTCTGGCCCCTCGTTTTATGTATCCAAACCTTGTCCCTTAATAGATTATGAGCAGGTATGGAAGCAATCTAAGTGTCCATCAGCAGACAAATGGAAAAAGAAGATGTGGTATATATACAATGGAATACTACTCAGCCATAAAAAAGAATGAAATTTTGCCATTTGCAGCAACATGGATGGACTTGGAGGGCATTATGCTAAGGGAAACAAGTCAGACAGAGAAAGACAAATACTGTATGATATCACTTTTCTGTGGAATCTAAAAACTACAACAAACTAGTGAATAAAGCAAAAAAGAAGCAGACTCATGGACACAGAGAACAAACTAGTGGTTACCAGTGGGGAGAGGGAAAGGAGAAAGGCAATACAGGGATAGAGAATTTTTTTGAAAAGGTAAGTTTATTATGGAACTATATGAAATCATGTGTGTGAAACTGTTTTTTTGTTTGTTTTGTTTTTTTTTTGTTTTTTGCGGTATGCGGGCCTCTCACTGTTGTGGCCTCTCCCGTTGTGGAGCACAGGCTCCGGACGCGCAGGCTCAGTGGCCATGGCTCACGGGCCTAGCCGCTCCGCAGCATGTGGGATCTTCCCGGACTGGGGCACGAACCTTTGTCCCCTGCATCGGCAGGCGGACTCTCAACCACTGCGCCACCAGGGAAGCCCATGTATGTGAAACTTTAAAAAACTGTAAAGCACTGTAGAATTTAAAGAATCTTTCATTCAATAAAAAAGATCAAAAATTTTTTGATTAAAAAAACAAAAAATAATTAAGATAGATTATGAGTGATTATTTCCTTTTCAGAGGAAACAAACATTTTGCCATATTTTAAAATATGTTGCAATATTCGTATATGATTTTTCCTATAGCAAAACATTATTTTTCATCCAAATATTAACTCCAATCCTGTGGAGCTTTCTCTGACGTTCTATCCTTTGAATCATCACACCTACTCATCTGTGTGTCTCCGGCCACTTTTCAGGTTGCATTTTCTCGCTTTGTGCACGCCTGGCCCTGAGGGTAAGATATTAGTTTGAGTGACTCTCTCCCACTGTCAACGTGGGACCTAAGTACGCTCCTGGATCAATGTTGTGGCAATATCCCAGGGATGGCCAGTCTCCCTTCTTCCACAACCTACTCTGTGACAAGCCTAGTGAATGGGGATGAAATGTGGAGTTAAAAGTCATCACCCTGATCTCCTGTGGTCATTAACGATCTCAGAACCCCTGCATCCCAGAGCCTAACCAGACCCTGCCACTCCCCAATAATGACCATCACTCCCTTACCTCTGTCCCATAAGGCAGCCTAGAAATCACCTCAGGTGCCATCCAGTAGGGCGTGCCAACCAGTGATTTCCTCTTTGGCACCTCTTTGGAAACTTGAGCACAGAAACCAAAGTCAGACAACTTTATCTGAAAAGGAAAGGAATGCAACAAACTAACAATATAAAAATACTGGCTCTGACCTTTGCAGCAACATGGACGGACCTAGAGGTTATCATACTAAGTGAAGAAAGTCAGAAAGAGAAGGACAGATACCGTACAATATCACTTATGTGTGGAATCTAAACTATGACACAAATGAACTTACCTTCGAAAGAGAAACAGACTCACAGACATAGGGAACAGACTGGTGGTTGCCAAGGGGGAGTGGGGGTGGGAGAGGGATGGGCTGGGAGTTTGGGATTAGCAGATGCAAACTCTTATGTATATGTATAACCGAATCACTTTGCTGTACACCAGAAACTAACACAACATTGCAAATCAACTATGCTTCAATAAATTAAAAAAAATACTGGCTTCGAGATATAGAAATATAGAAAGAGTTTCAAATTCAAAACAAAACCACCATCTTTTGTTAACAGGCCTTGAAAATACCAGAGGAGGGGCTATCAGACCCTTTTATTGGAAAGGTACAATCCATTTTAGTGAAAAAACCTCTTATGGCTCCAGCAGGATTGATTTGCCAATGTTTAACTCCTGCTGCTGATATCTTTTATAAAATTATGAAACCTCAAAATTTACAATACACCCAAAACAAATTCATTAAAATTCAAACCTACTACTTTCATTTAATGTAAGAGATGATGCTTTAGTGTAAGTAAGCTGCTATTCTCAACACGAGTTTTGTACAAACTGCTGCAATTTAGGGGTTTTTTTTGCACCGAAGACATTTAGATTTCTAAGTACCATGAGATGATTCAAATAACCAACCTCATTTCTATGTTTGAATTATTGTAAGACCCCATTTATAAAGGATGCTGAGATATCACTTTAAGTACTGGCTCCCCTTTTCTTTTGGTTTTCCTCTTTTTCTCAGGACAATTGAAGTTTGCCAATGTGAATATCAATGCAAGTGGAAATGTGGGCATAGAAACTGGGTGTGAGCAATTAGTTACCAGGGGTACAAGGTGGTCATCTTAATTACCCAATATACATATATGTTATTTACGTTAGAGGTCATCAAAAAGAAAAACACCCTGACATTTCTTGCCCAGAGCCTTTAAGAATACTCTTAAGAACATACTGCACCCTCAGGCACCCTGCCAGTTTATATATTCTAGGTGACCAGGATTCAGTTTATTTCTGGGAGGCTTGATTCTGTTCATGGTGACCTGGTCTGAACTTCAGATAGCCTCATTGAAAAGGATTGCCACTTAGGATTATTGGTGATGACAGAATACATTTATTGAAAACAAAACAAAAAAAAATCAATGATTCAGGTATTGATTGGCAATGGTTCAGAATGGCCATTTGAAGTTAAAATTTCCATAGATCAAAGGTATAGTCTCTAAGGCACAAATTCTCCCTTGATTCTCTTGATACCTCTCTGAACTTTTTTCAACCTTTTTTTCTGGCTCTATCTCTGCTGCCCACAACTTAAATACTGGGGCTTCCAGGAGTTTGGGTCCCAACTCTCACCTCTTCTCTTTTTAGGTGCTCTTGCTAGATACTCTTTTTAACTCCACATGGAGTTAATTTTTGTGAAGGGTATACGGTCTGTGTCTAGATTCATTTTTGTGGCATGTGGATGTCCAGTTATTCCAATACCACTTGTTGAAAAGACCATCTTTGCTCCATTTTACTGCCTTTACTCCCTTGTCAAAGATCAGTTGGCTCTATTTATGTGGGTCTACTTCTGGGCTCTCTATTGCTTCATTGGTCTATTTGTCAGTTCTTTGCTAATACCACACTGTCTCAAAAAGTCCTAAAGTTATGTAGTGTCAGTCACTTTGTTCTTCCTCTTCCTCAATATGTGTTGACGATTATGTTGGTCTTTTGCCTCTCCATATATACTTTAGAATCAATTTGTCGATATCTACAACATAACTCACTGAGATTTTGACTGAGATTGCATTAATTCTATACATCAAGATGGGAAGAAGTAACATCTTGACAATACTGAGTTCTTCCTATCCAATGTAATACCTCTCCATTTATTTAGTTTTTTTATTTTATTCATCTGAGTTTCGTAGTTTTCCTCATATAGATGTAGTACATATTTTCCTACATATAGATGTAGTACATATTTTCCTACATATAGATGTAGTACATATTTTGCTTGATTTATACCTAAGTATTTAGTTTTGGAGGGTGACAATGTAAATGGCATTTTTTAATTTCAAATTCCACTTGTATTGCTGGTACATAGAAAAGTGATTGACTTCTGTGTATTAACTAGATATCCTACCACTGTGTTATAATCACTTATTATTAGCTTTAGATTTTCTTGTTGATTCTTTCAGATTTTCTGAATAGGTGATCATGTCACCTGTAACCAAAGATAGTTTTATTTCTTATTTCCCAGTATGTATACCTTTTACTCCTTCTCTTGTTTTATTGCATTAGTTAGTACTTCTAGTATGATGTTGCAAATGAGTGGTGAGAGGGGATATCTTTGCCTTTTACCTAATCTTAGTTGGACAGCATATTCAATTCTTAAGGATAGTTCAAGGCCCTGATCACTTCTCACTTCCTCCAGAATTTTTCTCAGGAGCCCATATTGATCTCTCCTCTCACCAAATTTGAAAGAATTTAGCATTCATTTAATCTTGAACTGTCTTCTGATGCTGAGTTTTTCCCTCAGCTAGAAATGACATTGCTCAGGGGCAATAGCTCTGCCTTTTAATTATGAAGCCTCGCTGTGTTCCTTAAGAGCTGAGAAAACAGTAGATAATCAAAAAACTCATGGTACTAGATTGCTATTATCTGATATTGACATATATATACATACATACATGGGACAACAGATCAAGCGATAGAAAACACATTGGTGCTTCTTCTGAAGCCATCATTGATTTACTGAAGACAACTGTTTCTAGAATCAAAGTTGTAACACAGATGAAATGGAGGTAATGTTTTGGAAATTATTCTTTTTCCATTTCCTTGTTCATGATCTGCTCTCTAATCAGGCCAAGACTAGTGGGGTGTGGTTTGGGATGGGACTCCTTCAATTTGGATTGCACCAGATGGAATGCTAGAGAAAGATGGTTTAACAGAGAGATGATTTTTCTCAATTGCTTTGGCATATCAAGAATCAAGCCCAGATGTGTCAGATCACAGAATTCCATGTGGTATAAAGAAGAGTGCCCTGGGAATTCCCTGGCAGTCCAGTGGTTAAGATTTGGCTCCTTCACTGCTGGGGCCCGGGTTCAATCCCTGGTTGGGGAACTAAGATCCCACAAGCTGCAACATGCAGCCAAAAAAAAAAGAAAAGAATAATCCATTGGCGGTGGAAAGATGGCGGAGGAGTAAGACGCGCAGATCACCTTCCTCCCCACAAATACACCAGAAATACATCTACATGTGGAACAACTCCTACAGAACACCTACTGAATGCTGGCAGAAGACCTCAGACCTCCCAAAAGGCAAGAAACTCCCCACGTATCTGGGTAGGGCAAAAGAAAAAATTAATTAAAAACAGAGACAATAGAATAGGGACGGCACCTGCACCAGTGGGAGGGAGCTGTGAAGGAGGAAAGGTCTCCACACACTAGGAAGCCCCTTCCGCACTCCGTGCCCCTCCCTGCCCCCGGCCTGAGAGCGCCAGAGCCCCCGAGTCAGCGGCTCCTTTAACGCCGTCCTGTCTGAGCAAAAAGCAGACGCCCTCCAGCGACCTACACGCAGAGGCAGGGCCAAGTCGAAAGCTGAGCCCCTGTGAGCTGTGAGAACAAAGAAGAAAAAGGGAAATCTCTCCCAGCAGCCTCAGAAACAGCGGATTAAAGCTACACAATCAATTTGATGTACCCTGCCTCTGTGGAATACATGAATAGACAGCGAATCATCCCAAATTGAGGAGGCGGACTTCTAGAGCAAGATCTATGATTTTTTCCCCTTTTCCTCTTTTTGTGAATGTGTATGTGTATGCTTCTGTGTGAGATCTTGTCTGTATAGGTTTGCTTCCACCATTTGTCCCAGCGTTCTATCCGACCATTTTTTTTTTTAATTTTTTTCTTAATAATTAATTTTAATTTAAAGAACTCTGTTATACTTTACCTTCTTTCTATCTTTCCTTCCTTCCTTCCCTTTTTGAGACAACGAATCGTCCCAAATTGAGGAGGTGGACTTGGAGAGCAAGTTTTATGATTTTTTCCACTTTACCTCTTTTTGTGAGGGTATATGTGTATGCTTCTATGTAAGATTTTGTCTCTATAACTTTGCTTCCACCATTTGTCCTAAGGTTCTATCCTTCCCTTTTTTTTTTCCTCTAAATAATTATTTTTTTAATTCAATAACTTTATTATACTTTATTTTATTTTACTGTATCTTCTTTCTTTCTGTATTTTTTCCTTCCTTCCCTCATTCCTTCCTTCCTTCCCTCCTCCCTCCCTCCCTCCTTTCTTTCCTTCTTGCCTTCTTCCTTTCTTTTCTTCTTTCTTTCTTTCTTCCTTCCCTCCTTCCTTCCTTCCCTCCTTTCTTTCTTGCTTTCTTTCTTTCTTTCCTATTTCCTCCTACTTATACTAATTCTCTCTACTTTCTCTCCCTTTTATTCTGAGCCGAGTGGATGAAAGGCTCTTGCTGCTCCAGCCAGGAGTCAGGACTCTGCCTCTGAGGTGGGAGAGCCAACTTCAGAACACTCGTCAAGAAGAGACCTCCCAGCCCCACATAATATCAAACGGCGAAAATCTCCCAGAGATCTCCATCTCAACACCAGCACCCAGCTTCACTCAACGACCAGCAAGCTACAGTGCTGGACAACCTATGCCAACCATATAGCAAAACAGGAACACAACCCCACCCACTAGCAGAGAGGCTGCCTAAAATCATAATAAGTCCACAGACACCCCAAAACACACCACCAGACGTGAACCTGCCCACTAGAGAGACAAGATCTAGCCTCATACACCACAACACATCCACTAGTCCCCTCTACCAGGAAGCCTACACAACGCACTGAACCAACCTTAGCCACT